TTCCAAAAGTTATGACCAATTGCAAGCTGTTCAAGTAATTGACATTGCAAATATGATTGCTTGTGATGAACTTGAAACAGGTAGAGGAGCAAATCAAGTGAGAACTCTACGAAGAGCCGGAGATACTTGATGGAGCTCACACTTTCATTCTATTTGTAGCTTGATGAGAATGTTTGATGCAACTTGCACTGTTATGGAAAGTATTATTGATGAAGGGGCCAATTATTCACAAAAAGGTGATGCCTCTGCTGCTAGTAAAATATTAGCATCATTTGAATTTATTTTCATATTACACTTGATGCATGAGATCATCGAAATCACTAATGTGATTTACCAAGCATTACAATACGCTCTTAAGATATTTTAAATGCAATTCATCTTGTTTTTAAGACAAAATCACTCTTTCAGAAGTTGAGAGATAATGGGTGGTCTAATTTACTTGAGAATGTGAAAAAAATTTGTCAAAAACATGAGATAGAAATTCTTAACATGGGCGCACGATATATTTTGGGCAGAGGTCGATCTCATAAACCAGATGTAACTGTGGAGCATCATTATCGAGTTGATATATTCTTAGTGACAATAAATACCTAGTTACAAGAATTGAATTTGAAATTCAGTGAGAAAGCTATGAAAGTTTTAACTTTAAGCATTGCTTTGGATCCTAATAACAATTACAAATCATTCAATATTGATAATATCTGCAAGTTAGTAGAGAGTTTTTATTCTTAGGATTTCACAAAACAAGAAAGACTTATTTTGAGGTTATAATTGAAGCATTACGAGCTCGATATACCTTATCATCAAAATTTTGAAGATATTAAGACACTTTCTGAATTGTGCCAGAGATTAGCAGAAACAGAAAAGTCAAAGAATTACCACTTGATCGATAGATTAATTCACCTTATTTTGACTCTTTTGGTTTCTACAAGAACTACAAAGAGAGCCTTTTCAGCAGTGAAAATTATGAAAACAAGACTCCAGAACAAAATGGATGATGAGTTTCTTGCAGATAATTTAGTTGTTTATATTGAAAAAGACATTGTTAGTCTTTTCAGTATAGAGTCAATAATTGATGAATTTAAATCTAGGAAACATCGTCGAGCACAACTTTCTTAAATAATTATTATAAGTCTTTTTTTTATTTAGATGTTATATAAAATTATTATCTATTATGAATCTTTTGATCGTTGGTTAAATTCAACATATTAGTTTTAAAAATTTTTAGTTTTTATTTTTTTCGTCTTTAGTCCCCTTAACAAAAATTGACTAGTTCTGCCCCTGACTCCACCATGATAGAAAATATTTTTTATAAAAGGATCCAAATAATAGAAAATATTTTCAATAATTTATCCAAACAACAGAAAATATTAAATTTTCTTGTAAACCATTTTACACAGAAAAAATTTTCCTCTAGCAAATCATTTTCCGGTTAGCAAATCATTTTCCGGTTAGCAAATGGGCTCTAAGAAAAAAATCAATCACAAAATGGCACTTGAAAGACACTTATCAATAACTTGAAATCTCAAAAAATCAACTCTAATATAAGTTAGAAAGAGTTATATAAAGACATAGACTAAAACACTCATAATCATTATATTTGGCAATGCAGGACCCTATAAATGCTATTTGAAAAATGAAAGAGACCATAAAAAAGAATCAAAAACTTGGAATGGACAACAGATGAAACTGATTCCAGCAAAATAGAAGTTTACCAAGATAACTCTTGATTTTTAAACTCAATTAAATAACTAAACTATCAAACTCTGATTCAATAGTTATCATAGACACTTTATGTTAGAAAAAGAAATTTCTTTGTTGTTAAAGAAAACTCTTAGCCACCACGATGGATAACTCAACTGAGCTATCAACAAGCCACAATGTCGTTCCTAGGTAAATGTAACAACCAAAACAAGGTTAATAAAATGAAAATGACCAGCTGCCTAACAGCCTTTAATGGATTCTATTTTAATTAAATTTTCACAACGGGTCACAGCATTATAGGCCATTTTTCCATAGAACACATCGGTTCATTAGACTTCACAATAAATTATAGATTTCACAAATGATAAATCAAGACCTCAGCACCTCATCAAAATTATGAGCTTTTAAATGATTTAAAGCAATGTTTCTATCTTTCTATCCTTCACTTTCCTGGACCAAATTAGCTGCATCAGTAAGTTGAAAACAATATCCTTAACACTTTTACCTATCTTTCTTATCAATGAACTAAAACAAACAATTCCTGAGTTGGTAGATTTAATCCTAGAATTATATGGAAGAGAAAAGGAAGAATCATGACGTCTGACTAATTATATCCTCACCCCA